CTGGAGAGGATGTGGGGAAAAAGGGACACTAACCCACTGTTGGTGGGAATGCAAACTGGTTAAGCCACTCTGGAAGTCAGTCTGGAGATTCCTCAGAAACCTGAATATAACCCTACCATACAACCCAGCCATCGCACTCCTTGGAATTTACCCAAAGGAAATTAAATTGACAAATAAAAAAGCTGTCTGCACATTAATGTTTATTGCAGCTCAATTCACAATAGCTAAGACCTGGAACCAACCCAAATGCCCATCAACAGTAGACTTGGTAAAGAAATTATGGGACATGTACTCTATAGAATACTATACAGCAGTCAAAAACAATGAAATCTTGTCATTTGCAACAAGATGGAGGAATCTGGAAAACATTATGCTGAGTGAATTAAGCCAGTCCCAAAGGGACAAATATCATATGTTCTCCCTGATCGGCGACAACTAACTGAGCACCAAAGGGGAAACCTGTTGAAATGACATGAACACTATGAGAAACAGTGATTTGATCAGCCCTTGTCCTGACTGTTGATGTACAATGTAATACTTTATCCCTTTTAGTATTTTTTTTGTTCTAGTAATAATGGTTGTACTCTGTAATTAATATACAATTATTCTCAGGTGTTTAAATTTTCACTGAAAAGTGATCCCTGTTAAATATAAGAGTGGGAATAAGAGAGGGAGGAGATGTACAATTTGGGACATGCTCAATCGAACTTGCCCCAAATGGTGGAGTTAGAATCATGCCAGGGCTTTCCAATACAGTCTCATCAAGGTGGCTGTACCAATGCCATCTCATTAGTCCAAGTGATCCATTTCAGTTCACAATTGATCACACTGATAGGTATAAGAGTCAAAGGGATCACACAAACAAGACTAGTGTCTGCAAATACTTTGTTTTTTGATTTTTTTGATTTTTATTTTTTATGTTTTGACAGGCAGAGTGGACAGTGAGAGAGAGAGAGAGAGAGACAGAGAGAAAGGTCTTCCTTTGCTGTTGGTTCACCCTCCAATGGCCGCCGCGACCAGTGCTCTGTGGCTGGCGCACTGCGCTGATCCGAAGCCAGGAGCCAGGTGCTTATCCTGGTCTCCCATGGGGTGCAGGGCCCATGGACTTGGGCCATCCTCCACTGTACTCCCTGGCCACAGCAGAGAGCTGGCCTGGAAGAGGGGCAACAGGGACAGAATCCAGCACCCTGACCGGGACTAGAACCTGGTGTGCCGGTGCCTCAAGGCGGAGGATTAGCCTAGTGAGCTGCAGCGCCGGCCATGCTAATACTGATAGAATAAAAAAGGGAGAGAACAATCCAACATGGGAAGCAGGATACACAGCAGACTCATAGAATGGCAGATGTTCCATATAGCACTCTGGCCTGAGAATCAGCCCTTAAGGCATTCGGATCTGGCTGAAGAGCCCATGAGAGTATTTTCGGCATGGAAAGCCAAGACACACTGGTGGGGGGGAATAAGACCTAAATGAAAGATCTCTGCGAGTGAGATCCCAGTGGAAAGAACGGGGCCATCAAAGAAGGAGGTACCTTTCTCTGAAGGGAGCAGAGAACTTCCACTTTGACTATGACCTTGTGTAAATATGATCAGAGTTGGTGATCTTAAAAGGCTTTTATAGCCTTGGCAATTCACGACTAGAGCCTTGGGAGATCACTGACACCATAAACAAGAGTGTCAAATAGTTAAGTCAACAACAGGAGTCACTATGTACTTACTTCTCATGTGGAATCTGTCCTTAGTGTGTTGTCCAATGTGAAGTAATGCTATAACTAGTACTGAAACAGTATTTTACACTTTGTGCTTCTGTGTGGGTGCAAACTGATAAAATCTTTACATAATATATAGTAAATCGATCTTCTGTATATAAAGATAATTGAAAATGAATCTTGATGTAAATGGAATGGGAGAGGGAGTGGGAGATGGGATGGGTGGGAGTGAGAGGGAAGTTATGGGGGGGGGAAGCCATTGTAATCCATAAACTGTACTTTGGAAATTTATATTTACTAAATAAAGTCAAAAAAAAAGGAGACTGGTCACAAACAGGGGATCTTGCAAGACTATCAGTAGCATTCTCAGCAGAGATGTTGAAAGCCAGAAAGAAGTGTTAAAAGAAACAAACCCATGTCCAGATACTAACATACCCAATAAAGCTGTCTTCCATTAATGAAAGAAATAAAGACATTCTCAGACTGAGGGAGTTTCATCGCCCCAATGTCTACCTTATAAGAAAAGCTGAGGAAGTTCTTTAAGTTGAAATGAAAGAATGCTGAGTTATAACATGAAAGTGTAAAACTCACTGGGAAATGTAACTACATAGTGAAATTTAGAATACTTTAATCCAAAATGGTGTTGTTTGAGTAACTTTTAACTCTAGAATAAAAGATAAAGAGAAAAATATTAAAAATGACTATTGCTGCAATAGTCTGTTAATGGCTACACAGAAGAAAAAGATGTTAAATGTGACTCCAAAGTATAAAATGTGGGGGGAGGAGAACATTGAATAGATTTTTATGTATGTTATTGAAATTTGATTGTTAATTTAAAATAGAATGTAATAAGTATATTTTATGTGAATCTACTGTAGCCATAAAGAAAAAACTGTAGTAGATACATAAAATATAAAGAGAAAAGAATCAAAGGCATACTGCTAATAAAAAATCAGCAAATCACAATGGAATACAAAAAGAGAAGAAAGGAACAGGGAACAATAAAATAGTCAGAAAAAATTTAAGAAATGACGATAATAAGTCCTTCACTATAAATAATTCTTTAAATGGGTTAGTTTTTCCAATAAACAGGTCCAGAGTTAATGAACTACCATATCAACAGCAATTCCTCTACTGAGTAGGTATCCAAAAGAAACTAAACCAGTATATTAAAGGATATCTTAATTTCCAGACTCTTCAGACATTTTTCAAAGTAGCTGAGATATATGGACTCAATCATCCATAAATGGAGAATGATTAGTGAACAAAATATATAATTGAATACTACTCAGCCTTAACAAAGAAGGAAATAGAAATACTCTATGATCTCACTTCTGTGTGGTCTTTTAAAGAGTCAAGTTTGTGTAAGGATAGAGTGAAACAGAGGTTTCAGGGTCTGGAGGTGAGGGTGAAATGATGAGCTGTAAATCAAAGAGTATAAATTTTAGTTAGGAAGAATATGATCTGGAGCTGTGTTGTGCAACATGGTGACCATAGTTAATAATGTATACTTGAGAATTGTGAAGAAAGTGGATTATAAATATTCTTACCACAAAAAGGATAGGCCTCTGAGATGATGGACACACTGGTTAGCTTGATTTCATCCCAATGCATGCATATATCAAGACAAAATTGTGTAGCACAAAAATCCAATTTTTAAAAAAACATTTATCTATTTATTTGAAAGGTAGAGTTACACAGAGGGAGAGGCAGAGGCAGAAACAGAGAGGTCCTCCATCAGCTTGTTCACTCCCCAAATGGCTGCAATGACCAGGGCTGGGCCAGGCCAAAGCCAAGAGCCAGGAGTTTAATCCAGGTCTCCCACGTGGGTGCAGGGGCCCAAGCACTTGGGCCATCCTCTAATCCCTTCCTAGGCACATTAGTAGGGAGCTGGATAATAAGTGGAGCATCTGGGACTTGAACTAGTGCCCACATGGGATGCTGTCACTGCAGGTGACGGCTTTAGCCACCATACCACAGCGGCCGGCCCCACACATATCCAATTTTTATAGATAAGTTAAAAGTTATAAGGAAGAACAAGATAGCAAAATAGATAAAAAGTAAGTGGCAACAATATGTTGCCTACAAGAACTACTTTAACTTTAAGGACACATATAGCCTGAATAGAAGAAAAAAGGGATAGAAAAAATATTCCATGGACATGATAATCAAAATGGAGTATACATTGTAAAAAAGTGTGTATCAGAAGAGCTAATATACCCATCATCTCACATGCTTTTTTTTTGGTGTGTGTAATGAGAAATTTTAAGATCCACGTTCTTTGCAACGTTGAAGGCTATAACACATTATTAACTCAGTGATTTTCCTTCCTTGCTTTTACCCAAAATTGGGGTTGCTAGACCACATGGCACTTCTATTTTGAATTTTTTGAAGAGCGTTCTTGGTTTTCATAATTGCTGATACAAGTTTTCCTTCCCATCAAGAGTTTGTACAAGGGTGAGCTTTTCTCCATGTCCTCCAATGCTTGTTATTTATTGTCTTTCTGATGATAGCCCTCTTAGCAGAGGGCTTAAAAATATTTTGTGATTCTTCAGGCTGTCTCATTATTTTGTTAATTGCTTACGTTTTAGTGCAGAAGCTTTTTAGTTTGATACTATTCCACTTGTCTGTGTTTGCTTTTATTACCTATGTTTTTGGCATCATGTCTGAAATATCATTGCCAAGGCCAACGTCATGAAGCTTTCCCCTTATGTTTTCTTCTAATAGTTTGTTAGTTTGAGATTGTAATTGGTTTTGAGTTGTTTTTTGTAGCATGGAGTGAGATAAAGATCAAATTTCATACTCTATGTGCAAATATCTAGTTTTCCTAGCACCAGTTGTTGAGACATCTTTCCCAGTTTTGTGTTTTTGGCACCTTTATTTATTGATGACTGGACAAAGAAAATGCTGTATATATAGTGAAATATTACTCAGGCCTGAAAAGGAATGATGTTCTGATATTTGTAACAAAGTTGATGGAATTGGAGATCATTATGTTAAGTGAAATAAGCCAGAGACAGACATGATATGTGGAATTTCATATATACATATGAATTTCATATATATATATATTTGAAATACATATACATGTAGCTGTAGCTTTAGATATAGATAAAAATGTGTGTATGCTGTATTATATATATATATATAAAAGACACCAGAGATACTCATAAATGTTATCTTTACTGACTCATGCCACATTTTGCTTGCATGTGATCAGAATCAATTAAAAAGCATGCCCATGTCCTCCAAGAGTAGCTTTTTTAAAAAGATTTTTATTTATTTATTTAACAGGTAGAGCTACAGAGAGAGGAAGAGACAGAAAGAAAGGTCTCTCTATTTACTCACTCCCCAAATGACCACATTGGCTGGAGCCAGGAGCTAGGAGTTTCTTTTGGGTCTTCCACATTGTGTCTACAAGCACTTGGACCATCTTCTGCTACTTTCCCAGGCTATAGGCAGATTGCTGCATTGGAAGAGGAACAGCTGGGAGATGAACTGGCACGCATATGGGATGCACCCATATGGATGAGTAACTTTTTTGATATATTGTCTTTGTTTAATTTAAAAAATGTATATATTTAAGGTATACACATGAGGTTTATATACACATACAAACATAGTTAAATGACTATTTTATTAAGTAAATTAACATAGTCATCTTTTTACTCAGTCCCATTTTTGGTGGTAAGAGTGCCTGAAATCTGTTCCCATTGCAAATTTCCAATATATAATACAGTATTATAATACGTAGTCTTGTGCTACATATAATTCTTTAAATTTTGTTTGTCATACACAACTGCAACCCTGTTCTGTCTTTTAAAATCCATGTGAGAAATACAGAGACAACCTCAGGGTTGTATACACACACACACACACACACAGAAAACCAGCTGCTGATTCACATATCAAATGCTCGCATTGGCTAGGACTTGGCCAGGCCAAAACCAAGATTCTGGAACTCAATCCAGGACTCCCACATGGAGCAGGGAGTCCAGCTACTTGAGTTCTCATCTGTTGCCTCCCAGGGTCAGCATTAGCAGGAGCTTATGTCAGAGTTTTCCTTCTGTGTTTTTCTTCTAGGAATTCAAGGCTTCAGGTCTTGAGTTTAGGTCTTTAATCTATTTTGAGTTGCTTTTGTGTATAGTCCAAGGGTCCAACTGCATTGATTTTCATGTGGATATTCAGTTTTCTCAACATAGTTTCTTAAAATACTATCCTTTCTCTGTTGTATCTTCTTGGTACCCTTGTTGAAACCTAATTGACCTGTGGTTGGATTTATTTTTGGATTCTTTATTCTGCTATATTGGTCTACCTGTCTGTTTTTGTGCAAATAGCATGTTGTTTTGATTAGGATAGTTATGATCCATTACAAGGCAAGCGTGCTCTCTTTCACTACTTCTACTTGACATAGTACTGAAAGTAGTAGCAAGAGCAACCAGACAAGAAAAAAAGATAAAAAACATTCATAATGGAGATAAAACTTCCTCGATGCAGATAACATAGCTCTATATGTATAAAGCATTAAAAATTCCACAAAAAGCTATTGAAATTAATAAATTTAGTGAAGTTGCAGGATCCAAACCAACATACATAAGTTGGCCACATTTCTTTACATCAATGACAATCTACCAAAAAAGGAGTTCAGGCAAATAATCTGATTTACAATAGCATCAAAAAGAAAATAATACCTAGAATAAATTTAGCCAAAGAGGGAAAAGGCTTACATAGTAAAAACTTTGAACTGGGGAAAGAAATTGAAAACAAAAAGAAATGAAAGATATCATGTGTTCATGGATTAGAAAAATTAATATTGTTAAAGAGTCCATATTACCCAAAGAAACTCACAGATTAAATTTAAAGCCTATCTATATATCGATCGTATTTATCACAGAAATACAATAAACTGTTCTAAAATTCACACAACCCTCAATAGCTAATGGAATCTTGAGAATGAACAAAATTGGAGATATCACACTTTGTAATTTCAAATTGTATTATACAGATTAAATAATTACCTAATAATAACTTTGAATGTAGTAAGGCTTATAATAGACTTTCCATGTTATTTCTTTCTTTCTTTTTTTTTTTCTTTTTGGACAGGCAGAGTTAGACAGTGAGAGAGAGAGACAGAGAGAAAGGTCTTCCTTCCATTGGTTCACCCTCCAAATGGCCACTACGGCTGGTGTACTGCACCAATCCGAAGATAGGAGCCAGGTGCTTCCTCCTGGTCTCCCATGTGGGTGCAGGGCCCAAGCACTTGGGCCATCCTCCACTGCACTCCTGGGCCACAGCAGAGAGCTGGACTGGAAGAGGAGCAACCAGGACAGAACTGGCGCCCCAACCGGGACTAGAACCCGGTGTGCTGGTGCCGCAGGCAGAGGATTAGCCTAGTGAGGCGCGGCGCCAGCCTCCATGTTATTTCAATGGTTATAAACCTCATACTGAACAACACCCCAAACTAGCTGTAGACATTGCTGTAGAACCTTCAAACTGGGTCTACTTCCTTAGTGCACAGAAAGCTGATCAGTGACATCTGGGTGGTGGAAGAAAGTAGGTCTTCATTGTCAAGCACAGAGCAAGGAGTCAAGCAGCTATTGCTTAATTTGATTGGTCAGCGATGCCATGCTCTTTAGGGAATTTATGGTGGCCAGGTGGGCTCCAGTTGGTCTGGGAGTTAAATGTAGGTGGCAACTACATTCTGCCTGGATCTGGAATTCCCCTACCCAAATCACCGCAGGATAGCATTGGCTATTAATGTTCTTATTTATTGGAGAAGCGAATGACTCTGAGTTTGGTGATTAAAACCTTGTAAGACCAGCTGGGCCACTCCCTTAAGTCAGTGAATTCCTTTTGATAAAAGGTTGCCAAGGACACCTTGGTCTAAGGGAGACAGACAAGAAGCTGGGTCCTGCTTTTACATTATAGGGGTTCAGTTTCACTACCTGAGCATGAAATCAGATACTATTTTTCACTCTCCAGCAAAATTAACTGCTTCTTTGATGCAAGCTATGTGACACTTTGCATCACTACCTAGTGATACCACACTCAGATTGCAGAGGACAATGCTGTGAGAGCTGAAACTGGAAACAAAACAAAACAAAACGGACAACTCAATCAAGAAGTGAGTCTTTTGGTGAAATGATATTTCCTGAAAATATCCAGAATTTAAAGAAAAAAACAGCTATTTTTCATTGTTAAACAAAATTCTCCTTTATGAACATATAATATTGCTTTCTTTTGCTTAATTTTAAGGGGAGTTTTTCCTATATAATTCTTTGAAACAGCACAGGGATTAAGGAATTGAGTAACGTGTTCTTCCACAAGATTATCTTTCTCTTAGTATATAGCTCCAGAGAAAAATAAAATGAACATTTGAGCACGAGGGAAAGGCCAGCAGGCATTGTATGAATAGGCACTAGGCTACTTTTGCATAAAGCAGTGATTTTGATGTAAACTTCTCTGCGTCTCATCTGATATTCTGCTCTTGGCAGCATTAACTGAGCTAAAATAGTGACTGACCCCCAGAAGCTGACAAAGGAATGTTTCAGAGAGGGGAAACTAATTTATTCTGACTGCTTGTCAAGCATCAGCCTAACTAGTCTCATCTTTTTGCCCTAAAAGGTGCAAGATTCTAACCTTTGCTTCTACAGCATCTGCATTAAATAACAAAATGGCAAAGTAGTTCCTATCCAGAGGAATATGCATTAGGACAGCACCATTAATAGCGGTGAGTACTTAAAAGCAGTGATCTTTTAAGATCAGGGGCCAGATGGTTAGATATGTTGACCTTCATTTCTCTCTTATTTGCCAAAAATCTTTTATTTTTTGATTCAAACTGATATATCAGGGCAGTGACTTAGTTCTCTAAATTTTGTATGTGTAGCAGAGCTCTTTCGTGCACTGTTACCTGTGACAGATTTTGGAGTAATAATGTGGCAATTACACTTCCCATGACTTTCTGCACAACAGGCTTGTGGGGGAACATGGGACTAGAGACTTGAGAAATTCTTTTAATCATAAGGAAATTCTTGAATAACTTCTTTTTTTCTGAAGTTCATGGTAATTGCACTTCATATGCTATTTGAATCAGTCATCTAAAAGGGCTGGTTTTGTGAACTGTGCCCTTGAATAGAGGGCATAGGATCTAGCATCATTCAGAAAATTAGATTGGATTATTTATTTTTAAATGTTATTTGAGGTATACAGATTTAGGAATATATATTGATCCTTCTCAATCTATGTTCCCTCCTGTCCACACTCCCACTCATCCTCCTCCTTCTTCTTTTATTCCCTCTCTTAATTTTTATGATAAACTTTCAGTATACTTTATACTCAAGAGATTAACCCTACACTAAGTAAAAAGTTCAACAAATAGTAACATGAAAAAAAAAACAAACTCCTCAACATTATATATGAGGGCTATAAAAATCACTGAAGCTCAGAATGTTAATTTTACTCCTAAACAATACATTTTGGCACTCTATTAGTTACCACATATTATAGAAAGCATATGGTATTTGTATTTTTTGGACTGGATTATTTTATTAAGTATAATGTTTCTAGTTGCATATATTTTATTGCAAAAGATAGGATTTCATCATTTTTCTGTGACTGAGTAGTATTCCATAGTGTATATATACCATAATTTCTTTATCCAGTCATCAGTTGATGGACATCTTGGTTGATTCCATATCCTAGCTATTATGAATTTGAGCTACAATTAACATGTGGGTACAGATAACTCTTTCATATGCTGATTTCTTTTGGTTTGGGTAAACTCCCAGGAGTGGGATGGCTGGATCATCTGGTAGATTTATTTCTGAGGTATCTCCATACTGTCTTCTACATTGGCTGTATCAGTTTATACTCCCACCAATAGTAGATTAGGGTATCTTTCCCCACACTTCTATGCCAGCATTTATTTTTTGTTGGTTTCTGTCTGAGAGCCATTCTACCTGGGATGAGGTGAAACAGGTGAAACCTAATTGTGGTTTTGATGTGCATTTCCCTGATGGCTAGTGATCTGGAGCATTTTTTCATGTGTTTGTTGGCCGTTTGAAATTCTTCTTTTGAAAAATGCCTGTTTAAGTCCTTTGCCCATTTCTTAACTGTATTGTTTATTTTGTTGTTGTTGAGTTTCTTGAGTTCTTTATAGATTCTGGATATTAATCCTTTATCAGTTGTATAGTTTGTAAATATTTTCTCCCATTCTGTTGATTGCTTCTTCACTTTGTTGAGTGTTTCTTTTGCAGTACAGAAGCTTCTCAATTTGATATAACCTCATTTGTTAATTTTGGCTTTGGTTGCCCATTGTCTGGGGTCTTTTCTAAGAAGTCTTTGGCTATACCAATGTCTTGAAATGTTTCCCCAATGTTCTCTAATAATTTGATGGTATTGGTTTGTAGATTTAGATCTTTGATGCATTGTGAGTTGATTTTTGTATAAAGGCTATGATAAAGGTCTAGTTTCACACTTTTGCACATGGGGATGCCATTTCCCAAAACCATTTGTTGAAGAGACTGTCCTTTCTCCAGGAATTAATTTCAGTGAAATGAAGAGCTCATTTCATGAAAACAAAAACAAAAACAAAACAAAATTGATACACCATTGGCCCGACTAACCAAAAAAAGAGGGAGAAAACTAAAATCAATAAAATCAGAGATGAAGAAGGAAATGTAACAACAGATACCACAGAAATAAAAAGCATCATCTGGAATTACTACAAAGACCTATATGACGAGTTGGAATATCTAGAAGAAATCAATGGATTCCTGGATACATACAATCTATCAGAATGAAGTCATGAAGACATAGAAAACCTAAACAGACCAATAACCAAGATGGAGACTGAATCAGTAATAAAGACACTCCTAACAAAGAAAAGCATGAGACTGGAAGGCTTCACTGCTGAATTCTACAGACATTTAAAGAAGAACTAATTCTAATTCTTCTCAAGCTATTAAAAACAATTGAATAGGAAGGAATCCTCCCAAACTCCTTCTATGATTCCAGCATCAGGTTAATTCCTAACTCAGAAAAAGATAACGATGGAGAAAGAGAACTATAGCTCAGTATCCCTGATGAACATAGAAGCAAAATCCTCAATAAAATGCTAGTTAATTGAATCCAACAACATAAAAGAAAGATCATTCACCTGGACCAAGTGGGATTTATCCCTGGTATGCAGGGAGCTGAACATCATTTGGAAATCAATAAATATGATACATCATATTAACAAACTGAAGAACAAAAACCATATGAGTATCTCAATAGATGCAGAGAAAGCATTTAATAAAAGACAGCATCCTTTCATGATGAAAACCTTAAGCAAACCGGGAATAGAAGGAACATATCTCAACACAATCAAGGCAATTCATGACAAATCTATAGCCAGTATCTCACTGAAAGGGGAAAAGTTGGAAGCATTTCCATTAAGATCCAGAACCAAGCAAGGATGCCTGGTTTTTTTGTTGTTGTTGTTTTTTTTTTTTTTTTTTTTTTTTTTTTTGGGGGGGGGGTTGTGTTTATTTTGGTTTGGGTGATTTTTTTTAACTTTTATTTAATAAATATAAATTTCCTAAGTACAGCTTTTGGATTATAGAAGCTTCCCCCCCCCCCACCCCATAACCACCCTCCCACCTGCAACCATCCCATCTCCCACTCCCTCTCCCATCCCATTCTTCATCAAGATTCACTTTTAATTATTTTTATATGCAGAAGATCAACTTGGTATATACTAAGATTTCAACAGTTTGCACCCACACAGATACACAAAGTATAAAGTACTATTTGAGTAGTAGTTGTACCATTAATTTGTATAGTACAACACATTAAGGACAGAGATCCTACATGGGGAGCACTTGTACAGTGACTCCAGTTGCTGATTTAACAATTGACACTCTTATTTATGATATCATTAATCACCTGAGGCTCTTGTCATGAGCTGCCAAAGCTATGGAAGCCTCTTGAGTTCACAAACTCCAACCTTATTTAGACAAGGCCATACTCAAAGTGGAAGTTCTCTCCTCCCTTCAGAGAAAGGTACCTCCTTCTTTGATGACCCGTTCTTTCTACTGGGATTGAGCATGTGCCAAACTGTACAAGGGATGCCCAGTTTCACCATTGTCATTCAATATAGCTCTGGAGGCTTTCTTCAGAGCCATTACCAAAGAAAAATAAATCAAAGGGATACAAACTGGAAAGGAGGAAGTCAAACTATCCCTATTTGCAGATGACATGATTCTATATATAGGGAAACCAAAAGACTGCACAAAGAGATTGTTAAATCTCATAAAAGAGTTTGATAAAGTAGCAGGTTATAAAATTAACACACAAAAATCAATGGACTTTTTTATACACAATGCCATGGCTGAGAAAGAACTTCTAAGATCAATCCCATTTATAGTAGCTACAGAAAAAGTTAAATACCTTGAAATAAGTTTAACCAAGGAGATGTAATATCTCTACAATGAGAATTACAAAACATTAAAGAAAGAAATAGAAGGCACCAAAAAATGGAAAAATCTTCCATGTCTGTGAATTTGAAGAAATAATATCGAAATGTCCATACTGCTGAAAGCGATTTACAGATTCAATGTGCTCCCAATCAAAATGCCAGTGACATTCTTCTCAGACCTAGACATAAGGATGTTAAAATTCATATGGAAACACAATAGTCCCCAAATAGCTAAAGCAATCATATATACCAAAAAACAAAACCAGAGGCATTACTATACCAGATTTCAAGACATACTACAGGGCAGTTATAATCAGAACAACCTGGCATTAGCATAAAAATAGGCGTGTAGACAAATGGAACAGAATAGAAGCTCCAGAAATCAATTCACACATCTACAAACAATTTTTGACAAAGGAACTAGAATCAATCCCTATAAATTGAATTATGACATTCTGTGGCTTGGGCTGTCTAGTAGCTTCTCATTAGGCTTAGGGTCAAATCCTGAAATCCTTATTCTACTCTCTTCTCACTGCCTGGTGCTCTGGGATGAACTCCTTTTTACTTTTCTGGTGTCATCTTCTCCAGTTCTCTGGCCTTTTTCAAATACTTTGGGTTTCCTCTAGCCTCAGTATCTTCCTGCTTGTCATCTTTTCTCATTGGAACACTTGTCTCTCAGATCTCCAATAGCTATTAGCCAGTTCCTCTTTGTCATTCAATTCTTTCCCAAACACTCAGTCTTTCACATAACACCAATTATTTTTCTTCCTAGTGTTTGTCAGTATCTGAAATGTCCCAAAAAGAGGATTCTTTAAACAGTTTCTGGGAGGTGATCTTAGGAAAATCAGCTGGGAGGAGAGTAGAAACCAGCACAGGAAGCCAATGTAAGGTGATCTCTGTGGGAAATTGGGGGTCATTGCCATGAGGGCACTCTGGGAGACCGTGTGGAAGACCTTGTTTCAAAGTTGCCTGCTTGAAAGATGAGGAAATTGGGATGTTTACCACTAATCCTATTCTGTTATTGACTGAGGGCTATTGTTGGATCTGTGAGATCCCAGGGTTTCAGGCCAGTCCTAGGTAAGGGCGAGGCACACTAGAGAAAGCCCCAGCTGTGCAGTCACAGGGGCTATAGGAGGAGGCTGTTATACTGGCATTTATGACAGTGGGGAGGTCAGAGGGCCCACGACTGGGGCGAGGATAGTGCCCACTGCTCTGTTATTTATTCGTTTCTGTGTATTCTCATTTATTGACTCTTCCTGTCCCTTAGATATTCGTTATTTCCAGTTTCCCTGGCATAGTGCCTGCAACAAAATAAGCACTCAATAAACATTAGCTGAATGAATGAAGAGACATGTATTTTCACACTAGAAAATATGTGGAGTCTCAGGTTTCTTTCATTGTAAGGAAGGTGGCACTGATGTGGCTTCCAGAAAGGAAGAGATATTAGATTGAATTTAGAAATAGCCAGAGGAATTGAGGATGTCTGGATGAGGCAGGAAGGATTGAGAAGGCAGATGGGGGTCAGGGTTTGCATGGCGTGCCGGAAATGCTATTGGAATATAGTCTAGACTGAGATGTAGGCTTAGTGGGAATGCTGCTGTCAAAGTGGCCGTAGTCAAATCCTTCACCTCTTCTGGGATTTTGCTCCCTCAACTGCTTTCCTTGCTGCACAGAGATGTAAAGATAATAAAAGAAGATAATAGATTTGAAAGCACTTCTGAAAAAGAAGTACTCTTATGGAGAAAGCTACTATTTAACTGTTGAAAATTTGTTATGTTCAAGTTAAAATTGTCCAAAAGTGCTTAGTTTCTTTAAAAGGTGATTGCTACGGGCAGTAGCCATTTTGATGGACAGTTATTGCCTCCCAGCTGAAGTGAGTAGAATAATCAATTTCCATGTTGTGCTTGATGACCTGTGGCTGAAAAGAGAGGCTCCAGGGTGATCGGATGACTCTTATCTCGTAGGAAGCTGGCTGCCCAGGGACAAGGAGACCCGTGAGAGATGTGCCCAGGTGACAACCGGATTCCTTATCTCTGCCTGATCTGGAAATCCATTTTGGTGAAGGGAATGAGCTGGGAGAGCAGAGAAGGTGGAACTGCTGAGGGGAGCAGCTTCTTGTCTCAGTGAGAAGCCGACGGAGAGAACAGCTGCAGTTTCTGGAGAGGAGAATCTTCCTATTCTGGTTTAACTGTGGAAGCGCTCTGATGCCCCAGCGGCCTGGACACAGACAGGAGGGGCACTGCAGGGCCGCCACCTACCCCAGGAGGCTTGCGGCCAGTGCATACTGACATTTTTCCCCTTCACTCACGATAACCTGGAAGTCTAAGCCCTGACATCCTTTGAAAACAGCTGCCCCTTGCCCATCGTTGGCTTTGGTGTCTGCATACTGGGAGAGCATGGCTTGGCCAGGGAGATGGACGGGAAGGGGGCTGCCCAGGTCCTGGGGTGAAGGGTTTTCGGGTGGACAGTTTCTGGGAATTGAGGTGTGATCCAGAGGGAAGGAGGCAGTTCGGGCTTGGTAATTCCTTGATCTATTTGGACTTTTCTGTCTGTGGGGAGAGGTGCATCCAGAGGCCAGCTTAGTGAAGTCTCTCCAAAGTGAAGACCCCATTTTGGGGTCCACATTCCAGGTCTAAGGGGAGTGTATTTGATACTAGACTGACATAATTTTTTTGTTGTTGTAAATTTAAGGAAGCAAATCCAACAAAGTTAACTGAAAAAGCCTCTAGTTGCCCACTGGGGGACAGTATGACAACTCTAGGAAGCTGTTTATAGGAAGAGAAAGGTGAGTGGATGCTAACTCTCTAGTGGGTCTCCCTGCATCTCAGAGTGGAGCCATACTCTTTGTAGTTGTTACAAGGCTTTGCGTGGCTTGCCACCCTCTCTCCCCTAGCCTCCCTGACTTCATCTATCCCCCACCATCATTCCTTGTCAGTGCCTTGTGCTCCTTCCACACTGGCTGCTTTGCTGCCCTTCAGAGACACAAAGATTTGCACTCCTTTTCTCTCTATGTGCAGCCCTCTCTGAAAATGACTGTGTGTGCTTTGTGCAAATGCCACCCTCTCAGTCACCTACCCTGACCACTTAAAATCGTCCCTGATACCCCTGACTACCTTCCCCCTTTTATCCCTCCAGTATCCTACTACTGATATCCGTCATGTTCTAATATCCTGATAATTTACTTATGGAGTGTGTGTGTGTGTGTGTGTGTGGGCTTGCCCCAGTCTGTCTGTGCCCTTGAGAGTGTAAGCACCAAAAAGGCAGAGTCTGGCGCTCAGGAGAGTGTTTGTCACATACGAGGTACTCAACAAATCTTTGCCAAATGAATCAAGTATCTTTAGATAGCAGCAAAAAATTATAGGAATTAAAAATGTATTTGAGGGGCATGGAGACAGATACACACACAGAGCGAGAGAGCGAGAGAGAGCGACAGAGAGAGAGGGAGAGATCTCCCATCTGCAGGTTCATTTCTCAATTGCACACAATGATCAGGGCTGGCAGCCAGGAACTCAGTCCAGGTCTCTCATGGAGGTAGCAGGGACCCAGCTACTAGAGCCATCATGACTACCTCCCAGGGTATACATTAGAAAACAAAAACAAAAATTAGGAGCACAGCCAGCACGCAAATAACAAATAATCCTGTATGAGATTCAGGTATCTTGACTGCTAGGGCAAATGCTCACCCAGAAATTCTTTAAAGAAAATCACAAGAGTTTCTTAAAATATATGGAAATTATAATTTCTTAAATTCTTGCCACATGCAGAGCGCTAATATCTAGATATTTAAGTACTGGATTTTGTTTCTCATCATTTTTCTTGTGGCTTCATGCTGTCATGTCTCTGAGCATCCAGACTCAAATCAGAGCAGAGGACTGAAGAACTCAGAAGAGGTTCTTGAAACCAATGCTACAATCATCTGAGAAGCTAGATACATGAAACTTTGATCCTGCACATTCTGTATATTTTCTCTCTATTCCTTTTCCCTTTCCTCTGCTTTCCACTTTCCTCTCCTCCTTCAAAGTTCAGAGCAAAGCCCATGCTAAGACTGCAGGACTCAGAGCTAAGGTTTGTTTGTAGGAGCTGACAGTTTGGTGAGATTTCTAAAGGAAGACATCATTTTAGCATTGTGTGGAAAGTGCTTCTGTGGAAATTTGCCTGAACACTAAAGGAACAAAGCTCTTGATTTCATGACGAGAGTGTCACCATGATGGCTTGCTGGAGGTATATGGGTAGAATCCTATACTTTGGAGACTTGGAAGAATATGTGAGAATGTTTAGTAATTCTTACATGAGTGGCTGGCATTGTGGTCCAGTGGGGTAAGCTACCGCTTGAGATGCTGGTATCTTATATTGGAGTGCTGGTTTGAGTCCTGGATACTCTGTTTCTAATCTAGTCTACTGGTAATGCACCTGTGAAAGTAGTGGTTGATGGCCCAAGTAACTGGATCCCTGCCTCCCATGTGGGAGACCCGGAGTTTCTGGCTCCTGACTTCAGCCTGACTCAGCTCTGACTATTGTAGCCATTTGGAGAGTGAACCAATGGATGGAAGATCTCTCTCTCTCTTCGTCTCTAAATCTCTTGTTCTCTGTCACTCTGCCTTAGAAATAAATAAATAAATCTTTAAAAACATTCTTAGATGATTTCAAGTCTGAAAGACAATATGGTTATTTTGAAAATTTGCTAATTTTTGGAAAAGTTTTCATTGGTTTTTAATATTACATTATTTGAAAGACAGAAACATAGAGATGGAGGGAGGGAGGGAGGGAGACAGAGAGAGGAGAGAGAGAGAGCACTATCTTTCATCCACTGATTTACTTCCAAATGCTGCAACAGCTTGGGTTGGACTAGGCTGAACCTAGGGGCCCTTAACTCAATCTAGGTCTCCCACATGGTTGCAGGGAGTCAAGCACTGGAGCCATCACCTGCACATTAGTAGGATGTTGAGATTAGAAGCAGAGTGGAATCTTTAGCCCAAGCACTCTGATATGGGATGTGGGCCTTCCCTTGAAGAACAGAAGTACTTGCTTTATACCAGCTCGATTTCCTTATGTTAGAATATTTAAGGGGCTGGCTTTGTAGGGAAATATGTCAAGCCACTGCCTGAGATGTTGGCACCCTGTATCGGAGAACTGCTTCTGATCCAGATCTCTGCTAATACGCCTGAGAAAGCAGTCTGCCATTCCACTTGGCTGGAGTTCAAGATTCCTGGCTTCAGCCTGGCCCAGCCCTGGCCATTGTGGCCATTTGGCGAGTGAACCAGCAGATGGAAGATGCCTTTCTCTGTCTCTGCCTTTCAAATTTAATAGAATAAGTCTTTTAAATATTTCAATGAAGTTATAACCTTTTATTTGATGGTTTCAGAGATTTTTAGTGTTCAGAGACTTAAAGAAATGGTAACACGGTGTCTATGTTCGCTTGGTGTGTTGATTTCTTTGTGGTTCTTTGACAATGAGATTTAACTCTGGTGTTTCAGAACAGTAGTTTTTTTGTTCTTATATCTCATTCCTATTGAATTGTGGTAATGAGTAGTGGTTTCAGATGCATTTAATTTATTCCTGTGGTATTTTGTACTAACCACAAAATTCTAAGAGGCACACGATCTTTCCCATTTGTATTTCCCAGAGGCTGGTGATTTAATTTATGCTTTGATCACTAGATAATAATTCTGAATTAAGGTATTTTGGGACATTTTAGATGATCTCTGGTATGTGCTGTGATGCGAAGAATTTAAAATTCTCCAATGAAATGCATTATAATTTTTATGTTATTTTAGCATGAGCTAGACTATATACAGCAGGTAAGGTTAATGAGGAGTCAGTAATCACTTTTCCTTTGATTAATGAGTGACTTTTCAGTATCCACTTCTACTTAATCATTGTATACCTGTGCCCATGAAATAGATTGAGAATCTGAAATCTTAGAGAATCTGAATTCTTAGAGAATCTGAAAATTAAGTGGTTTTTTTTTTTTTGCATGTGTGTGTGTGTGTGTGTGTGTGTGTGTATCGGGGAGGCAGGGGTCTTTTAATTTGTGGGGTTTTATTATGCCCATGGTTACTGACTAAATAGTAATTCTATAACCAATTGGTAGAATCAAACTTTTCTCAATTCTCTTGCATTCCATTCCATCAATTCTCTTCTTTGACCTGTGAATATGGTGTGTTTAGCTGAAAGTAACTGAAGGTTCCTAATCTCATATTGTTTCATTTATAATAATATACTAAATAGGGATTGTGTAATAGAGTGATTCTATTATGGCAGACTAAGTATTATTCTAGAGAAATGATCATTTTTTAAAATCAAACTTGGATATATACATATTTAAAAGATTTGTTTGTTTATAAGATGAAGTTAGAGAGTAGGAGGGAAGTAAGGACAAAGACAGAGAGAAAGAGGGTGGGAGGGAAGGAGGGAGGGAAGGAAGGAGAAAGGGAGAGGGAGAGAGAGAGAGAGAGAGAGAGAGAGATCTTCCATTCCTTGATTTACTCCCCAAATAGCTGCAATAGTTGGAGCTGGCCCACATTAAAGCCAGAAGCCAAGCACTGCAGCCTGGTCTTCCATATGGGTAGCAGGGGTCCAAGCACTTGGGCCATATTCCTTTGCTTTCTCAGGTGCATTAATGGGAAGCCAGAGCAAAGGCAGTCAGCTAGGACTTGAACAGGTGCTTGTATGGGATGCTGACATCACAGACTGTACCACAACAACAGCCAATAAACCTGAATATCTTAAAAAACAGATATAGAAAAAATTAAAAGTTCCATGGGATTAGGGGACTTATTTACAATTAGATCACCAATATTTGGCACATATTCATTACTGAAAATGCTTGAATGGTGTGCTTACTATTTTTTTTTAAATAATTAAATTGGCAAACAAAAAAGCTATCTGCACCTCAATGTTTATTGCAGCTCAATTCACAATAGCTAAGACCTGGAACCAACCCAAATGCCCATCAACAGTAGACTGGGTAAAGAAATTATGGGACATGTACTCTATAGAATACTATACAGCAGTCAAAAACAATGAAATCCGGTCATTTGCAACAAGATGGAGGAATCT